CCCACTGGTCAAAACAGCTAATATAATCCGCTAACAGCTAAAAGCTAACCGCTGATCACCAAACAGGGCCTAAATAAAATACATCCTAATCTTAATCTTAAAAAGTAAAAATTAAATCCATCAAAATTTCAAAAAATTTAGAAATACCAAACCATTTAATCTCAAAATTTATACATGTCATGTGATAAGGTTGGTTTTGTGGGGACAAGTTTGGATAAGGTTGAATTTTAGGTTTAGTGGGGACAAAGTTTGTTTAATAAATTCAAAACCCTTTAGATGGTTAGTGTATGAGATAAGCCATCACCTAAAAAAACATTAATTCATATAGAGACAACATTAAAAAAGAAGAAGAAGAAGAAGAAGAAGAAGAAGAAGAAGGTCTTCCAAAAATATCAATTAAGCAATAGAGACAACACACTTTCTCCTTCTCCATGCTGATTTGGAAATGAGTAATTATTATCTAGAAAAAAACACAAAAATAATCGAACCAACGAAGAGTCGATGAAATGTAAGGAAAGGTAACGCATTTTGGAGAATCGATCAAAGATCTCACCAAACCTGCAAAATTTACTACTAAAAACCAATCTGATTCTCGTATATACGAGTAATGTCGTTCAGCAGATACAAGAATCAAACGATAATGAGAAAAATCTAACGAACTCAAACGATGCTTTCAACAACCAGCTGAAATGGAAAGCCCGTCTAATTCTATTCTCCGACTGTCAGACCAAATCCAAACTTGTAATCCTTCTTCTTATGATCAATCTGCAAGATTACAGTAATTACAAGAAGAAAAAATACGAGCAGGATACTAAAAGCAGTAGACAGTAGTTATGTTATTCGTCCTCACCTCAGCCGAAAGAATAAAATTGAGTCCCATATTAAAACGCTCCTCCAGAAAAGCAGCCACAACACCGTTGGAATCTATCTTTCCTCTTAATCGACACTGAAAATAGATAGGGAGGAAAGCTTTTTTGTTCAATGGTAACAAAAATGAAATACAAATCTCAGTTTCCAGTATGACTCTTTTGTAATAAGTTAAATCTCCATTAACACTTCATTCACCGCGCCAAAAGAAGTGTCACGCGTAGAATATAGTTCAAAAGCAGTCAATCAGAAGTGAGATATCAAACAAAATTAACCACATAGTAGCAAAGCATCAGATGCTAGAGAAATTTTACCTGGCGTAGTATATAATCATATCCGAAGCTGGCCGTGACATCTCTAGACATTGCGTTGTACATAAAATCTGATGCTAGAGAAACCTATATATTAAGAAAACACATCCTTTTACTTGACAAAACCGAAAAAAAAAAGAAAGAACACGGAAGCATAAGGAAAAAGAAGAAAGACAAGAAATCAGAAGTGTTTAAAAATGACGAATTAGAAACCAGTTTACCTTTTCAGAAACTTTCTGAACATAGCTCAGAGCAACCATACCAGTGCTAGCAACTTGACAGGCTGCAATCTATACTAAAAACAACCAGTTATTATATCTGATGGTGTAGATTAAATGGACTTGCTTTCAAATCAAACTATTAAATGCACGAGGAAAACAATCAGAAAACATGCACTTCCATAAAAAATATAACCTACAGTAACCAAAATAAATAGATCAATCATACATGGGAGTTGGGATAATCATATATAGCTCAATCATGTATGGTACAAAACACACAATAACACAATTAATTAAACGTCAATGCACAGAGTTCACGGTTCTACTTCATCATCACTTATAACAGGATCTTAATATGCCGAAAAGACTATTCATTAACAAATAATTCCGTGCATAAACCCTGCATTACGTATTTCTTATAAAAGAACTCCAAAATGATACATCTGCAGTAGTAAGAAAAATTTGCATGGAGAAAAGATATTAAACTTAAATCAACAAATAAACAACTTTCCAGAGAAAAGTACCATCTTGTCAGTGCTGTAACGAGCAGCATAGCCGAGGCCAGATTTCCGATGTTGACCAGCCCAGAATATTTCACCACCCAATGACAAATGAGGAGTCACACTCTGCAAAGATAAATAAATGCAATCAGTTACTAATACAACTGCAAAGATCCATTTGGGTTTTTTCAAGTTCAAATTCATCAACACAACAGATAGTCACCGAAAGGGTGACGAGCGATTTATTGGGTGAATAGTTATTTTATTCATCGGAACGCCTGATCTGAGCTTAAAAGATTATTGGGCAACCAACCAAAAATATTAGTGATTTACATGGATGAAAGAAAAATAATGCCAATATGTGAAGAATTTTTAAAACTTAATGAAACAGAAAAATATAGACTAAATTTTGCACCGCGATCAAGTTGGTCCATAACTAATTAGAGTCAAAGAAACAATCTTGTAAGAAATGGAAGTAATATCTACAAGAAGATTCTACATTGTCCAAGAAGTAACAGAATTTACTTACAATAAATAAAGACCACGCTAGTAGTATCTACCAGAAGGAACTACATTGCCCAAAAAGTAATAAAAGGGTACTTGTCATTAAATGCAGACCACAAGTGAAAATCGCATCAGGATAATGAGACATGAACTGAATAGCAGTTGGCAGACTGTTGTTGATAAGGTTGATATGCTCGACCTAAAATTTTAGCAACTGACAAATACTGATACCCACTTTAGGAACATTTCTTTTTGTCAGGTGATGCTGGTGATCCTCGACCCATCAAGGTAGCATCTTCATTTTTTTTGGGTGCACAAAAAGAAATTAACTGGATACACCAAAAAGATAATACAGTGTTTCACAATCATTATGATGACTATTTGCAAGCATAGGGGTCCCATAAGATCTATCCCTGTAATATTTTATTTATTCCATTTGCGGGAAGACTAGTGCAAGATATTTGAGGAAAAGTGGAAAACCATATCTCCATTTCTAGACTGCAACGTAATGGAATCTTAATAACCCTGCATTTACAATGGAACTGCATAGATAGCAAGAATGAACAAGAACGCGCTATCTCTCTAGGATTTTACTTGGTCTGGCTGCCTTGATGGGAAAAATGACGACTCCCAAGCTTGTTACGTGGAACAAGAACATTTCAAAGTGGATGTCCGTGATGCTAAAATCCGTACATCTTTTCTACACCTTTCTGGACCATAATGGGTTAATTTCTTCATCAATCTATTCACCAGTAAGCATACAACTTTTGCTCAACACAGGAAACTCATCATTTTTTTATGATTTTCTGGATTAAGTCGAACTATTCATCAACCTAGGAGGAAGCAGAAATTTTGTAAACCGAATAAAACAAACTAGGTGACTTACCTTTCCAAATTATAAAGCTGGAATTTTCAGGATAATTACTTGTATAAGGCACATAATGAAATCCACTAGGAAGAGAAAAGGTGAAATAGTCCGAGAACTATGGTCTCGACCAAAGCATCAAGATTATTGTATTATTAAGATATCAATCTGGGACTTAAAAAATATCAACAGTTTGTCATTTTACAGCACATAATGAAGTTAAGGTTCTCTTTTTACGTAAGTGTATTTAAAATAAGTAGAAGATCACTCGCCTGGATGTAACTTGCGCCAAGTAAAGCCCCATTTCCTAGTTGAAACTGAGTCCTATAATCTGATCCCTGTAAATATTCATACAGTGCATGATATTAATATCAATCCAATTTCACAGTGACTTCATTCAATTAAAAGCATCAGATCTCATCCAAAGCAATGCGCAAAATGTATTGGTTACAAACATGCGTGCAGATGAGAAATCTTTAAGACTATGTAACATAAAATTACCTTAAAATCAAAATTGAACATGCCTTGTGACATATGTGGCTCATTCGTAAGCTACAGAACAAAAAAAAGCTGTTAATTCCTTGTCTGAACCAAGAATATTGTAATATTTACATAATTGTCTTTTGTAGAACTTCCATGACATGTGTAAAGAACATAGTATGCCTACTTGAGCATTGGCCCTCAGAGCAAGATTCTCAGTTAAATCACACTTCAGTCTTGCGGTTAATCTCCCGTCTGTCATCACTCTCCCCATAAGTACTAACTGCCAAAGAACAGATAACTCCTTGATGGTCAAATCAAGAATTTGTTATAAATGCAAATAATTACAGAAAAAATGTGGCCACCTTAGGGTCTAAAAAGTTGGCACCAAACTCATACTGAGCAGTGGGGATTTTAATTGTTTCAGATGACTGAGATGGAATCTCTGTCGGCCCCATCATCAAACTGAATGAAAATCAAAACCATTCAGCAGTCAGGCATAACAAATACCTCCATCAGGAAGAGGGGTGCAGTGAAGCACCACAAAATTAAATCACAAACTAACGTAAAATATTGAACAAAAATCTATTTCACCTGTGGCTCAGAGAAAACTTCTGATTGAGTCCTTTGGTAAAGTCAAAGCGCATTCCCTCAAAGAGATCTGGCTTCAGGGACACTGCCAGTCATAATTAACAAAATATAATTATACACATAACAACTTAATGCTACGAGCATTATTCAAAATGTTTTCGAGCATTACCAAAGTAGTACAATATTTGCAATCTGAAAAACATACACTTAATGTCACTAGCACTATTCACAATAATTTCTAGCATTACCAAAGTAGTACACAAATTGCAATGGCACTTAACCTGCAGCCAATGGATCTAATGTAAATGACTGAGTTTGGGGTTATATTTTTCAGGCTGAACTTCAACATTCTATAATTCTATTTAATTCTATTGAGCAGAAAGTAAAAAGAATTCTAGAACTAAACTGAACATGTAAGGATGATCATGCAAAATCATACAATCTAGGGATACTCTGCTAGCTTCCGCGGATTATCGAAAATGTGATCAGTCTTTATATAGTGAAGCAGAAGCACAATGCATTCAACTGATTCTTTCAAAATAGATACCAATACTGATAAACAAAATCAAGCTCCATGCTCAAATTAACCAATCAAGACGGCCACCTTCCACGTAAATAAGAACAACAGTTCAAGCAAATGCGCAGAAACAATTGAAACGATGAACTAGAAAGAACCCACAAAAGAGAATCGAACGGGAGAAACACTAACTGAGGGCCTCGCGGTGGATTTCTTCGTACGCAATGGGGCAGGGGAGATTCAAGTAGTCAACTTTTGGCTTCTCGGCGGCGGTTGGGGTTGAACCGGCCGCCGGTAGGGTCGTCGCCGCCGCAGGAGATGGAGGAACAAAGGCTGCCATTTTTTGCTGGTGTTGGCTTCGGATTGTTAACCAGACACAGCTGATACAAATTTCGAAGCACAAAATTGGATCTTTCTTCCTCTACAGAGAAGAAAGGCAGCGGCTGTTGTAAAAGCAAAGCAAATCAATTGAGAAAAACCCCTTCCCTTGAAATCACAAAACCCTTAACCCATACAGTTTTTCTCCTGTTCGACCCGACCCATTTTTAACCCGAAAATACTACCCAAATTCTTGTGCGGGGACAGACGGGCCGACCCGTTACCTCACATGATAACCGAGTTCCAGTCACTAGGAAGAGAATTAAGGAACCAATATTAATTCTCCTGTATAAAAAAAAAAAAAGAGGTACCTATTATTGTTTCTTTACGAAATTTCAGCCCATGATAAATACATATTGTCCGCTAAATACATATTTATGGTCAATTAATATAACACTAGTACAACGCTCGTGAACTATACGAGTATTAAAGAAAAAATTGTCCAACTAAAAGTGAAAAAGTATTAAAATTATTGTTGTGAAATAAAAGTTGTAAATAATTGATAATAAAGTATTTTTTAAAACTATTGTGAATTCTAAAAAATATTTTTATGAAGTATTATTTATTGTATTCATTTTTGTCAAACTTGATAAAATATTTTATTTATTCGCCCAGTTAGTATAACGCTCGTGAACAACAAGGGTGTTTCACAGTTAAATATTTTTTTCAAAATAAAGTGAATAAATTTATATACTTATGATAGAATGATAAAAAAATTAAATATACAACTAATAAAGAAAAAATTAATACAAAAATTATTTACAATAATACACTGTATTATACTCGAATTTTCAAAATGATAATTTTTTTTAACCACACACACATATATATATGTAAGTTATTATTTATAACTCAATAAATTGATTTTAAATTAATCTAATTTTGTTCAAGTTTGATTATAGTATAATCATATTTCCTCGTCTAGTATTATTTAATAGCTTCAGAGGTAAATATTCAATAATTTAAACGATAATGTGTATGAGATTAAACTTTATGAAACATATAATTATTTTTGTTATTCTAATTGTAATGTTAATTTACTTTTTTTTTCATGATTATTATAATGTTCATTCTCTATGTAGTCTTTATTTAAGTTGAGACGTAAACTTTTAAAGTATTTTTTATATTAAGTTAATGTTTATACTTAGTTTACATATTTTTTCCAAAAAAATAAAAATAAATAACTACTTTATGGTATGCTAATACACATAAATTTCTATTACTTTATAAGATAGTTTATAGTTTTATTTGATATTTTTTTAATTCAGTTTGATAAAAAAATAATAATAAATTTTATTTATAAGGATTGTTTTCTATTTTATATATATAATATGAATGTCAAATCGAAAATTGTTAGATGATTAATTTGATATATCATAAATTAAAAATAAAATACCAACCAACAAAGTTAAAGAAGAAAGATTTATAGTAATTGATGTATGAATTAAATAAGAAAATGAAATGTACTATATGGTAATATAGGAAAGGAAACGTAAAATAGTTTATGATAACTATTGTAGGACAAAAAGTAAGAAATCAATCATGGATTGAATATGAATATGATAGACATCAAATGAGATCAAAGGCTAATTATTTTAGTATAAAAAATATTAATTTATATCAAAGCCTAACTCCGTAACATGAATTTTTGTCACATAGTACTCCAAAGCGTAAGAGTCTACAACTTAGTTCTAACTCATTCGGAAATTATATATATGAGATTTATATATAGGTATGTAATATTAATTGTGATATTTATTGCGAGTTCAATCAAGCATCATCACTTCACTATCATCAATAAGGGGAAAGGCAACAAACAATTACATTGGTCCAATTTAATATTTATATCATTTTAAATTTTAACAGTATGAGTAAATGTCACGTGTTCATGATGACGTCATATTTATACACTTGACATTCACAAATAAAAAGATAAAAATGAAGAGTTATGTTCAGAAGCCAGTAAATACAGTAAATACATTGCTCTAGTCTCTCGTAAATCCAAGCACATCCAATTTCTGTTCAGAACCATACATTGCTCGACTCGAGCACCCGGACAAGTTTTTTACCTATCCCTACGAGAAGTTACTTCACTCTCCGAAAAGTATATGGGTGAAAATGATACAGTAAAAACTAAAAAAACGCTATTGCTTTTCAAAATATCCACTGTTTTTAATGCATTAGCAGCAGTTTTAAATCTCAGTTTTGTGGCTTGGCTTCCTTACGGTTATTACCGGTCAACTGAATTCCTTGTGAAGAATTACCGTGCTCGGTTGAACCATTTTGAGTCGAGCCACCTTCTGCCACCTTCAAAAATTTCTTCTTCTTTACCTTTTGCGCCCACCCAACAAGCCCAACTTGCACGTGCTCGTCAAATATCGACTTCTTGAAATTGGTTCCCATCTTCATTTTCCCAAAAAAAAAAAAAAAAAAAAAAAAAAA